TCTCTCGTCTCATTGCCCCAAACTAGATATGACAGCATCGATTGACCACCATCGCATCCACCAAGAGGGACCAATGTCGATGTGGCCTTGGTCTGGCAAAGAGACACTGCAAATGGTTCCTTGCTAAGTAATTCCTCGAAGTTTGGTGGAGATATCACATGTAACTCATGGCCGGTGCAAGCCTCTTCCACCTCAACTCCGTCCTCAGCCTGGACGCCAATTGCTTCTTCAACCTCCCTTTCTTCTTCAAGTGGTATCACCCCTTGGAAATGATCAAGAACGCCTTCTGCTTCACTTTCGTCATCCTCCACAACTTCTTTCTGCACCCTTTCTCGCTCTTCTTCTTCTAGCACGGATTGGAGAGCAAGTTGCCAAGCAATTTCTTTCATGAGATCTTCTTGCATCTCCTTACTCATGCCCGCCTCTTCAAAGCTCAGTTTGGGATGTGGGAGGGTGTGGTCGGTTACTACATGACATTCCTGATCATGATTATCACGGGAGCTCTCCGTGACAACTTCTGTGTGTTCCACAATGTCCTTGTAGCCTTCTTCTTTCTCCTCCTATTCTAGTATGGTAGCGGAAGGGTGATCTAGAGCAGGTTGTGCACAAGATCGCTCAAGATCATCGACGCTCTTCTTAAGGCTCAGGAAGATCTCCTCTGTTTCACGATAGGCCTGGGTACAAAGATCCATCCTAGACAATGATCTCTCACTGTCTCGAGCAAACTGCTCCATGAGAAGCCTCAATTCATAGTTTTGATCTGGCTGTGGAGTGTAGCATGGCTCTGCAGAATGGCCTGTGAAGGCCGCTATGACACAACTCCTAACAAAGGCCAAGTGTAACCAATGAAAGGGAATGTAGTATAGTGGCTCAAGTAATAAATATCAAATCCACGGGTCTCTAGAGTTACTATTACTCAGCTTCACTTCATTATCTAGCAAACCAGATTAACATGAAAGAACTAAAACTACTCTAGCAAACTACAGTTAAAGTTAATATAATTACAGGTTGGGAACTCACTTAGGTATGATTCCCCCTAGCCACTAGCCAGATTAATGATTGATGATTTCTAACTTGTTTCACTTTCATTCACAATGCAGAGAATCCTTGACTAGACCTTGAATCTCGACTAAAGGATCAAGGCCCTCTTGAGTCGATTGCCTAGAGGGACGTATCCTTCTCTAGAACAACCGATCAAGGCGTTCTGAACTAGACTCCCTCTATCGAATGAGGTTCTCAATCGATACAAAGCAGTGAATCAACCCTCGACTAAAGCAATCGATCCAATACTATCAATCTATGGTGCTCTATTGACCTAATCAGGTATTCGCTCTCATAGGATCAAAGCAGAATCACTAATCTCGACTAAAGCAGAATTGAATAATGAAAACGTGCATAGATTGAATATGAACTCAAGATTATCAAGTAGGAGTACTCATACAATCATCCAATCAAACAAACATAGCCAGGGTTCCTCAAAACCTAAGTGAAGGGAAGTTACTCCATAGAGAAGAGAGAGACTGCAGTAAGAATCTTCAGATGATCAGCCTTCAAGTCCGGGCTTGTTCCTCGAGCTTCCAAGGCAAAGAAATCCTCCAATTCCACTCTTAGAATGCCCTCAAATCGCCCTCTCTCTCTCTTTGGTTCGTCCCTTGGGTGTTTGGGATCCAAAACCCAGCTCTCTCCTTTCCTTTAGCTTGAATCTGCCTCAAAAACCCGATTCTAGGCAAAACACGATCGAGGGCACGACTGTGTTTTACTTTTGCCCGCCCGTTTTTTGCCCCCAGCAGCCCTCACGACACGCCCTCGGCAGTAAAAACATTAGCGGGTGCCAGATAAAACACGACCGTGTTTTGTTGGTAGTCTGCCCAATGCTTTGTTTCTCCCTCATCCGAACTCCGAATCAGTCGCCGTTTGATCCTAGACGCTCGTAGTCTCGTCCTCTTTTTTTTTATGAAAAGCTTGCATGATTCTTTGTCCATAAAGTGAGGTAGAAATCTATTCTTCTTCAGGTCATGCCGGAGTTTCTTCTCCCGAATCGCCAATTGATCTCTGGTTGACTTGAAACTTGCGCCTATGCTTCACTTTATGTGCTAGGACCTGAAATGTAACAAAGGAACACAAACTAGAGTAAAATAGGCCAAAGAAGCAATAAGGCAAGCTTAAACGATCAAGAAACAAAGGGGAAAACATGTGCAAATATCGAGTCATCAGCAGTCATTCCCGAATTTCCACTCCCTTTGGCAGCAATGGTAGCTCCTCCAGCTCGGCTGATACTAGATTCCTCATGCGTGGTCACATAAGCCGGTTAATTTTTGGCCATATTTGGAGCTGAGCCTCTACTGGTACTCTCTGGATTATTAGCTATATTTCTTTCCTGTGTACGACACTCCAAAACAATATGTTCCATGTGCTTGCAGTAAACACAATAATTTCTTTCGCGACAGTGCTTCTGAAGGTGAAATTTCTCATGACAGTCATGGCATTCCAAATCAGTAGGTGGAAACTTTTCATTAGAATTGTGGCTGGTTTACTACGAATGCCATGGAGTTTTCCTAACATTAGCAAAGTGAGGGGTTGCCACAGTGACAACGATCGTCACTCTCTCTACTGGACAGATGTCCAGCTACGGTTGAGTCCTCAAGCGTGTCTCTTCTCAGACTAAATCACCCAGCACGAAAAAGCCATCAAACCTGAAGGTCTTCCCAGTTGAGAAAAGATGAGCGCACGACTTCATATTTTGGTCGAAGTCTCATTAATAACTGAAGTAGCTGACCTTGCTGGCTCTCCACCAATGAATCCTCTAGTTCGGCTGCTCGAGGATGCAAGGCTATATGAAGGAGGTCTTGTTATGTCCACAACTCATGTGCGACATTAAAGTACTCACTAATAGTGTGTTCTCCCTGCTCTAGACTAGCCAAGGTGCACTGAATCTCAAACTGATGGACTGCATTGATGGTTGAATAGGTAGAGGAAAGGCGGCTCCACATATAATTTGCAGCCATAAATAAATAAAGACTAAGGCAGGTGGATGAATCTACAAATCAGAACAGCCACGAGCAAACTCGTGCGTCATTCTGCTTCCAAGTATCGATTACCTGGGCCATTGCAATCTCGGCCAGTTTTGGTGAGGTTTCGTCCAATATTCTGAGCATCCTTCGTCCTTCCACGAACACTTGGAATTGAAAATCCAGAGTGCATAGTTCGTATAGTTGAGGCGCACCAATGGCCTCCCAAAATTGATTGTAGTAGGCTCTGATACCATGATGAACAATCAAACGTACATAAATAGTAACAGACAAACAAATTTAACATGGTATCCCCGGAATTCCAGGACTAATCCTCCAAAGAGTTTGCACTCTTCAAGATGATGAAATTTACTATTCATGTGTTATCGCAGCAGCCATTAGGCCATGAGTATATAATTGAAACCTAGTTTAGTATCAACTAGCAACGTCCTAACCTTGCATAGGCTTAGTGGAGGATCTACGTTGAAAGTAGGAGGGGCTACAACCCCCCCCCCCCAACCAATAAATTTGAACTGTAGGTAAAATTACATGTAAAATGTGTAACAAATTTAGGAATGACCACCAACCCTTTTCTTTTTTAGATGGTATTTTTGGCTCATGGACAACCTCTCCTGAAAATTTTAGCATGATTTCTCCAGGTTTCTATGAGCGGCGGTTGGACCCAAAGCTGGGGCGTCGCTGGTTATTGCTTCATCTTGGCCTGCATCTTCCTCCATTGGTCTTCTCTTGGGATCTACTTGTGGTTAAGTTCTCCGTCATTGGACCTCATCTTTATCACTAAAACTCCATATACTTCACGTTACAGCTCCTTTGGTCCTCCAGAGTTGTCCAATGCTTATCCGAATTCTCCTAGGTCATATTGTCCAATAGGTAGGTATATCCCAATTGGAGGTATAGGTGAGTTGGTAATGCCTTACCCAGCTCGCCCAAAGGGAAGAAGAGTTAGAGGATATGGCCCAGAGATGCCTTACCAAGCAAGCCATGTTCCAGCTCCTAAGATCCTTAAAACCCAAGCCCCCTTCTTTCTTAGGCCTTGCTATCATCTGCCAGTGAACTTTAGCCCTTTTCCCCTCTTCCTCTGCACTCCATAAGAAGTCAGAGCAAGCTTTCTCAATCAGCTTAATCACCTTAACTGGGAGTTGAATGATCCCCATCCAATACTGGGTAATGCTGGAAATGACAACAGAGATGAGCTGCATTTTACCAGCATAAGACAAGGTTTTCACCTTCCAGTCCCTGATTCTTGCAGTTATCTTTTCAACCAAAGCATGACAATCATCATTGTTCAGTTTTCCAGCAATGAGAGGGATCCCCAGGTATCTCACAGGAAGATGCCCTATAGCAAACCCAGTACTAGATGAAATTTGAGTCTGAACTCTAGCTTCCACACCTCCACAGAACACTTCACTCTTGGCAGGATTACATCTCAACCCATATACAACATAGAATGCATCCAATATAGACTTTGCTTTCCCTACAGCCTCTGGAGTCCCCTTTGTGAAGACCAGAAGGTCATCAGCAAAGCACAGATGGGAAAGCCCTATCCTGTGGGTTTGAGGGTGGGGAGGAAGAGATTTAATGGCATAAGCCCTATTGAACATACAAGAGAGGAGTTCCATAGCAATAGTAAAGAGATAAGGGGAGAGGGGATCCCCTTGTCTCAGCCCCTTCTGAGCAGAAAAATAACCAACTAATCCCCATTAAAGCAAACACTCAACTTTGTACTGTGAAGACAAACTTCAATCCATTTTATGAACTGATTAGGGATTTTCATAGCTTCCATTACTGTTTTTAAGTACCACCAATCAACACTATCGAAAGTCTTCATCACATCAACTTTTAGGGCACATCTGGGAGATATAGTTTTCCTATTATATAGCCTCACCATCTCATGGGCCAATAGAACATTATCACTAATCAATCTCCCCTTAATGAAAGCATATTGATTCTAACTAATGATAACAGGAAGCACTTCCCTAAGTCTGTTTGCAAGAACCTTAGCAATACACTTATACAGTATATTGCAACATGATATCGACCTGAATTGCTTCATACAATCAGCATTTTGTACTTTAGGAATTAGAGCCAGGTAAGTAGAGTTTACCTCTGAAAGAAGCTTCCCTGTTCTGAAAAAATCCAAGACTGCATCAGTGAGATCCTTCCCCAAGATCTCCCAGATATGTTGGAAAAATCTAGCTGTGAAGCCATTTGGACCAGGAGATTTATCTCCATTCATAAAAAAAAGAGTTGTTTTCACTTTTTCTCTGGTGACTGGACAACAAAGAGGATCAGCTTGCTCAGGGGTGAGAAAGTGAACCAAAAGTTGGGAGATCAGCTAACTGCTTCCTACTTTCATTCCGAATGCAAAAAAATTTAAATGGGATTTTAAGTTTTCATATTTGGCTTTTATCTATGATGTAGATCAGAGACTCGACGGCGGGCTTGCCAGAGAAGGAGGTTCGTTTTCTCTCCCATTGTTTACTTATCTGAATATTTCGCTTTGGAATTGGAAATGCTTTAGTTCGTTTGACTTTTATCGAGGGTTCCAATTAGCTTGATTGTATCTTGTGAGGGTTGGGTTGGCTGCTCCTTGAGTACTTTCCTTGGGGTTTCCCCCCCCCTAGTGATGTTTAGGAGGTCAAATTTGACGGAGATAAGAAACTGCGGTGCAGGTGAAAGGAACAATGACGAGCGAGGAGGATTCCATCGAACAAGCTTCGGTAGCACGGCGTGAGAGACTGATGACTCTTAAAGCTGCCAAGGAGCTTATGAACACCCCGGATGAGGGTTCAGAACTAGTTGAGGATAAGACGGATCAAGAGATTGAAACAGCTAATGGCGAGTGAGTATAGCTTGGATATGTGCACCTTAAATTAGCCAACTACTAGTGCATGAGAATAGTATTCCCTTTCATTCTGAGGAGTTGTTGCTGTCGTCGTTGTGAATCCTATCTGTAAATTTGTAGGTTAAGTGAGTATGGCGTGAAATAGATGATTGGACAGGGCTGCATCTTGATTATAAGTGTTAAACCAGAGTAGGTTAGTTTTGAAAGGAATTGAAAAGCACAGTAGGAACTCTAGAAAGATCTTAAGAATGACTCTCATTGCTGGTTTTATTTGCTTAAAGTGCTGAGAAATCACGAGGGCATTTGATAACGGCTTGGAATTGGGAAATCAGATCATTGTTTCAGGGGTGGATGTGGCTCCATTTTATAAGAACTGTTGTTGTCACATCTACCTTTCTGAGCAGTTGCTTCCTTTGTAGGTTTTAGAATGGCCAATTGCAATTGTGGATTTAGTTTCTTTGGTAGTTTCCAAGTATGAATTGTGATTGAACTGGGTATGTTTGTCTCGTTTCTTGTACGGGAAAACTAAGAAGTATTTGTGCTAGTGGATGGCACATTTGCCTCTATGAGTCAATGGTTCGACTATTGAGTTTACCCTAAGTTCCCATGTCAATTCTCAAGAGCTCTTAATCGAGGAAACCTGCAAGTATATTTTCTGTGAGCTTCATGCACTAGTTTAATTAAAATGTATATTGCACCTCATTTTCTTCATTGCATCTCCAGTAATCAAGGGTTGAGGTTTCGCAACTATGTACCTCAAGCCAAGGAGCTTCAAGAGGGAAGGCTTGCTCCACCAGTGCTACCAAAGTTTGAAGATCCTGTTGCAGCAGCCCCTCCACCACTGGAGGAGAAAGAGGTATGTACTTGCTCGACTCAACTCAACTCAGACACATTTTACTAGTAGAAGCCTCGTCTTCTTCTAGAAATTTTTTCTGTTCTTTATCAGTTCTAATTTTGGTCCATGTTCTTATTTTGGTGCTTAGGATCCATTCCTCAACATTGCTCCAAAGAAACCAAACTAGGACCTGCGGAAGGATGTTCAGAAGAAGCTTGATAAGCTTGACCGTCGAACGCAGAAAGCATTGTACAAACTCATGGGTAAGTTAGAAAACCCTCGAGTTTGGATAGTTTGCTAGTTTCTTGTTCCCATGGTAGCGGCGGGCTAGCAACATTAGTTCAAAAAGGTTTTAACTCCCATATTAGTTGCTCTTCTGAACTTCGATTCCCATTTCCCTTTTTGTAGAGGAACAAGAAAAGGAGAGACAGGCAGCTGAAACCACCGAAGAGGATTAGAACAGAATCATCTTCCTTCCACCCAATTCACAATCGAATGATCTGGTGTAGCTGTGATATGAGATGCCAAAACTAGAATACTGACAATGCTGATTTCCTTTTAGAGTCATGTATATCTGATCGACAATGTAGGAAAAAGGAAATGAACTCTTATTGCCCTGATTTCAGTTTTACACGCAGGAGAAGTTTTGGTGGGAAGGCGGGAATAGTTCCATTGCCTTTGCATAAGAACACCAAGTATATTCTTTTATCAGCAGAAAGAAGAGACCTAATTTACACACAACAGAGACTTCAACAAACACATTTTGGTCGACAACTTGAATGGAGAAAGAACAATGAGACCATCGATTTTGTCCCTTTTGTGCCGTCTATAATGTCGGAAGAATTGGATTGCCCCTGTTTTTTCAATGGCCGTTCCCCTGTTTGAATTAGTTGGACGTTTTTGCTCCTGAAGAATACGCATGTTTCCTGGAAATGTATTATATAAGCCTCTTATCTTCCTTCAGCTATTGAGTTGGTTGGCATTTGTTGCCACCGGCCCTCTGTTGTTTTCGTCGTTCCATGAGTGATCAACTGCAGGAAGCTGATAGTCGTCAGGTTTCAGGGCTAACGCAAAATCTGGCAAAGTAGGCGCCGTTTCCATGATCCTGTAATGATAAAAAGAAAAGGAAGAGGAGATAACCCAAAACTGCTGTTAGTTCATTTTATATACATTCCCTCAAGTACATGGCGTTGCTTGATCAATTACATTCTTACTTTTCGTGCGAGTAGAGATCACGATTTATCCGCACTTTGCTGGAAGTATCTCTGGGAATTTTCTCCGACAGGTACTTCATTGTTCCCCAAAATGGTGGATTTCTGCAACAAAAAAAAGGTAACTCAAGGATGCTGCGATTACAGGTAGAGCGCATACTAGGAGCTATGTATGTCTAGGGTGCATTATTATTTAGTTACCTGGACGTGGGAGTGGCTGTATTGAATGCCTCGCATGCCCTTTTACTTTCTTTGAAGTATTCATCTGCAGCTTGCAATGCAGCCACCGCCATCCCATGAGATTTTTCAGTGTTGCCTTCATCCAGGATCAAGCCATGGTAATAGTATGCACCAGCCTGATTGATTGGGAACCCAAAGAATTAGACCAAGAAATTTCTAGTCTTTTCTTGTATCTCTCATCAGTGAACTAACTGCAAGCATCAACTATCAAGGACCCTGGAAAACATAGATTAGGATGAATGCTTACCCTTGCTTCCACATATTTCCACTTAATGAAAAGTCGGTGCTTTTCTCCCCAACCATTTGCTAGCGGAAGATTCATTATGTTATCTTGAGCCTGTTTACACAAGCATCCAAGATAAAGCAGCATTATCAGATACTTGAGGGAATGATATCTGAGACTTGAACACCTTAAGTCTACGAGAAAAAAGTTGCAGAAAAAAGCAAATGTAAGACAAGATCGTTACTCACAGGGACTCAAAACAGACTTGTGCCATAAGCCCATAACCCATTCACAACAACTAAAGATGAAACTTCGGCAAAACTACAGATACAAATAAGAAAACTGTACACAAAGAGCTAGAAACCGCATTATCTTAGACAGCTTGCTTTGAGGAGTTCAGTCATAATCCAAAAGAGGCGTGAGAAGTACTTAAAGACAGCAAAATTAGGTAAGGAGTTTAGAAGCAGTACCTGCTGCCAGTACTTAACCATCTCACAAGCAAGCCTCCGTTTCACTGCAAGTGTGGCTTTGGCACTATCAATTGCCATCCCAAGTTGGATATCAACGGTCTGTTCAGACAGGAACAAAAACTCATTCAGTCACTTCTGCTGAGAGATTTGAGGAAAAGACCAAGGATACCAGTCAACTAAATCTTATTTTGTCATAAGTGAACATATTGAGGGGCTCCCCACATATACAAGACATGATTAATAGTAATTAGGTGATGATTTCACCCCTCATACTAATGAAATCATAGCTCTATGCGTGCATGATGTGAGAAGGAGAAGAAAAGGTGCAAGAACAGTTGAAGGGCAAGAGATCAAGGACTTCAGGTCCCTGGTCTAGACTTCTAAAATCAATTCGGGATTACAAGGAGTCTATTTCACTGTCATCATTCGATCTGTTGGGTTGGGAATCAAAGTTCTATATCATCTTTGCACAGCTCCTAGCTATAGGCAACTTCCATTCAATAGTGCACACGTTTTCCCTCCAATTCTAATACTTTCTTCTTAAACTGCTAAATGAATACCTGCTCTGGATGGTTATAAATCAGCTGATACGTCAAACCAATTCATAGGTCATAAAACAGACATCTAACGTAGGCATATGTATACAAATTTTCTACTGAACGGTCTTTGGAAAAGAGAGAAGCACTTGCTAATAAGCTACTCATTCAAGCATGCGCATACCTGCCCCAAGGCCTGCAGACAAAGTGCTCGAAGAACTCCTTCAGCAAGGTCGACTGGCAAGTCCCTCCTACTAGCAAAAACAAATATGTTCAAAATCTAATAACAGTTGCACTACATGCACCAATCTTTAATTTAAGTCTTGGACTACATTAACCTCAGGGCAGCTGGTAAATGTGGAAGAACATGCCTAACTGCACAATCCAAGTACCCAGCGGCCTTCAATAATATGTCAACAGATGCCCGCCTGCTTTCTATGAAAAGGAAACCAATGACCACTCAATTTTAGAGACAATTAGGACACCATATTCCAGAATTCTAGATACTAGAACATCAAGAGAGAGACATGTAAAGAGACCCATATGCCTACTCATGCTCACTGGATAACATAACATCAGATTTTTTAAGGTATTTATTTGGTCAATGAAATCCTCATAGACATCCAAACTACGACATTCAAAATATAGGTCATAACAAGGAACTGTAGATACTAGACATAAGTTTTCAAAAAAGAAAAAGATACCAAAAATTCCCTCGTTGAATGCAAATTTAAGCTTGACGCATAATACTTGTGAACAAAGCAGCGTACAACAACAAAATTTCCAAGACATTAGACATGTTAATTAATAGTAACCTATTGATACATGGCTCATTTCCAACGAATATTGAGAATCCTAGCTCTAACCTATCGTTTCAATATTTAAGTAAAACCATGAGGATGCATATGTATTCACACTGCTCCTGTAAACATTGTTATCATTTCTTCCTGATCTATTGCTTTGATAATGGTGATTTCAATATTGAGAATGCATATTACTCAAAAGCAACACTTCCGCACTATGATAAAGGGTGCAGACTGGCGACTAAAGGACTCGAGCAAATACAAAATTTGACGCTGCCCCAAAAAAATGAGAAACTGAGGCTAAAGATAAGTTAGTATTATTTGAGGTTGAAAAGTTAGGATGTAGACATAAAAACTCAAGTAGACCCTTTTCGCGTTTGATCCACTAACAGACTTTCCTTAAGGGTACCAACCTTCTGATACTTTTGGCTGATAACCATCAGCCGATGTTCTTGGGAGAAGTAACAAGTTTGCCTGTGATAATGATAGAACTGCCATCAAGTGCAAAACAGACAGTACCTCATACCATGCATTTGACATTGCCGTTTCCTGCAGAGATGTTTGAAATACATTTAGATGCAAAAAAGAAAGTGGAGGCCAAAAAGGATCATGATATCATTAACACAAATAATAGAAATCTCTCAGGCACGCACCTCTGCCTCATCCTCTTGATTTACCCACACAAATTGGATATTGTGTTGTAGTTGGCTACCATCTTTCACCAAACCCAAAAGAACAGGCAAGTATTCTTCAAGAGCCTGATGAAGATCAGCCAACGTTGAACCACCTAGAGAGAAAGAACAGATATCTTGATGAGATGAAGGGCTCTCTACTGCAGACCTTATGCAATTACCACAAGCAAAGAATATCTTGTACAAGCTACCATGTTGTGTAGCACTTCTCCTTCGAGTTCTAGTGACAGTCGGTGCTTCTTGGCCCGCCATAACCACAATCCGGGTTCTTAGAGCAGAGAGTCTTTCAACTAAGTTCTTCGACAGGTGGTCACCAAGAGCCTGAGAGAAATCAACGGGTTTAGGTATTCGAAACCCCGGAACATAGACAGAAAGCTCTCCTATACTTGCTGGTCTCCTCCTGTTTCCACCAGAATCCTTAGGTGTAGACACTATGCATCCCATATCCTGAAGATTACTGTACACACTTCTCCAAACAAGAAAAAACCACCAGCACAACAAAGAATAAGGTCCTGAGCTTATTTGAACAAACATTTAAGCCAAAAGGAAAAGTAGAGGTGGCTCAAGAACATTGTACAGCAGACATTTTCCAGAGACATAACAAGGAGTAGCTATTAACCAATGAGCATAACATAAAAGGAAGTATATTTAAGGCCTTAATGGCCCAACTAATAAACCATTAACTAGCAGGTTACTCACGAGCAGAGTCCACAGCACTCTGGCAGGCTCGCTCTACCAATTCAACGGCTCCGAAAATCTGTTCAAAGACATGTAAACTGTAAACAATAAACACAGATGACATGTTTCTTTCATCTCATAATCATAACCATCACTAGGAAGGGTAATTGACGAGAGTAAGTAGGTCAGCTGACCTTCCCTGATGGGTTAACTCCTAACAATTTTCACCCTGAAAAGGAAAGGAAAAAAGGAATCAACTTGTCTTTCTTAAAGACAAAAGAGACAGATGGAGAGAAGGACAATCAAGGGAAGAGGGTTAGACAATCACGAGGAAAGTCTGAAACTTGACATTTAACATTGCCTTTCCAGTTCTAGGAAAAGTGGGGAAGTGTGATTTTCCCACCATCCCCTTCGTGCATGAACCATTCAAAAGTAAAATGTGAAAGCGAGGGAGGAAATTGGATCCAACCAAAACATTCCAAGTGTAGGATGGACAGCTCAGGTAATAGGATGGACAGCTAGATGATGGAAACAATCTGTTGGGGAAGGGGAACCCCAGTTAAATACAACAGAATTCATCACTTTTCCTTCCCTTTTAACGTGAGGGCAAGTTGTGGATAGAAAACGAAGCTGTGCTTCCAATGAATTGTGAGTAAAGTCTCTTCCAAATTAAGTTCCAAACCACAAGTAAAGCTCTGAAGAAAGCAAAGCTACGAGCTCACTTTTTTCTCTTCCTTCCACTCCATTTTATCCTCTCAGACTGAATTCTCACTACACTTCAAAGACTGATATCACAAAAAGAAACCGAGAATTCGAATTTCGATCCGTTCATCACTCAAGCAAACTAACTCCCAAGACCCCGAAAGAAAGGAAGAAGAATAGAAGAGAAAACGACAAACTCCTTTGTCCAGGAAAAAAGGAACCCTCAATTAGCCAATCAAGGACTTTCCCAACAACCAAACAGGGCAGTTGCAGACAAGCAGAGAAAGTAAGCAGCAGCAAAAGGCGAAATTGAGCATTGAAATCAGCAATTGGAAAGGAAGACGAAGCTAAATTGAAGATTGAGCCGAATTACCATTCCACTAGCTGCTACTGAAGCTGAAGCCGACCTGGGAATCAGTCAAGAACCCTGGGAAAAAATAAATGAGCTTGAGATGGCCGGAATTCTTCCTGAGCAGTCAGCTGGTTTTGATTGGGAGAGCCTTGTACGGAGAGGGAGAGTTGGATTTCGAAGGTTCGAAGGGACTGTAAGAGGGAATATTATACTCGAGAGCAATATATAATACTTCATTTTAAATAATAAATCGGATGAAAAGGGAAACAACTAACAATAATCCCCTCCCGGTCCCAACTGTGGAAAAAAGGCAACTTGCTTTTGTTAGAAAATTTAATTATCAAATACGCTTAATTTATTTTGTTTTACTTTTGAAAATGAAATTTAATTGGCTGTTAGCAGGTTTTTTTTTTTATTTTCTTCTCATTGCTGTTCTTTTGTCAAAAAAAAAAAAAGTTGTCATTTGCATGACGTTTAATTTAGATTCCTATCTAGCCGCCCTTTGTCCCTTCTTCACACTTTGTCAAAACCGTGTAATATAATAGTAATTAAGTCCAATATTAATCCAGCCCGTGACTCCTACCTAAGGTACTAAACTTTGCATAGCACTTCTACTATGCTATATAGTATTGGTGTTTTAATGTACAACTTAAAGTTGTACCATAACATTAAATGTATAAGTTTAGGTTGTACCATAAAGCAATTTGTACCATTATGTTATGGTACAACTTTACAACTTGAAATTGTACCATCACATAAAGGTACAAATTCAAATTATACCATAAAAGAATTTATACAAAAAGTATAAGTAAAATCTGAAATTGTATCATAACGTAAATATAAAATTTTAAGTTGTACCATAAAAGCAAAACACTATAGCACCAATACTATATAACATTGTAAAATTTCACAACTGTGCATGGCTTAACCATTGTTGAGTTGAGAAGATGGATCTAACATTTTATTTCTATAGGTGGCCTGCCAGCTAGCTAGGCCTAGGCTATTAGTACCTAAAATTTTTGGATTCTCCATTTTTGCTTCGATTTTTTGGAATCTGGGGGTGTAGTGGAATTTTAATAACGTATTGGTAATTTGGTTTTTATAATGATGGTGACCAAAGCCTAAAATATGCTCATCCTACGACCATGACAAACTCATGTGCAAAATCATTATATGATTTTCCATGAAGAAGATAATAAGTTGAACTATATATGATCTTTTAGGCTGGAAGATTAGTTAGGAGTGTATATAGGTCGGCTGGGTAGAGTTTGGACATTTTGATCACCCAATCCATATACTAAGGTTTTAAAAATATTTAATTCAAATTCATCCAAAAAAATTAAAATCTTGGGGTTTATTTATAATTGGGTCGGGTTGAAGATACTTTTAATTTAGAATCCAATCCAACACAAAAATACAACTATTTTACACTACAAAAATATTATATAACTAATTAAAATTTTTAAAAAAATAAATAAAGGATAATTTTTTTAATATGCATAATTATTATTTGGATTTTAATGAAATGCAATTTACATCAACATATGTCTAGTTTCTATTTATAAATATTTGTCAATATAAGCTAAAGTGGTTATAAGCTTACACATTCATAATATATTGTTCTTCTAAAATTGTACACCAGAAAAAATACATGAATCATACCTTATATTAAATCTACGTCTAAATATTAAGTTGAAAAATGTATTAGAGTAGAGAAACCACAAGAGAAAATTATGACATGATAGGTTAATTTTCGCGCAAATATGTTCTATATACGAACACTTATGACAATAGTTCAACATGAGTTGGGTCGAGTTCTACAGCTTGTTTTACTCAAAATCCGCACCCAACTCAATAGAGGGGGGTTGTACAAAAGGGCAATACTTCGCGATTGTTTTCGGCTCCTTTTCTCTGTGTTTGTGTGTATTGAGTTTAGGGTGGTTCCACGAACCGCACACGGGGCTGCCCATAGAGTGGTGCATAAAGCCCTATTGTTGTCTCCTCGTGAGTTAGCTTCATTCGACTTTGTAAGGTGGCTCCACTGAGGTGTTGCTTTGGGTGGGTTCCTATGTAGATTTTTCTTGTTTTTTCTATCTATCTATCTTGTAATTTTTTTGAGAAAAAAGTGGATTCTAATTGACTAAATCGGTCGTACATCGAAGCTGATAAAATTGTGCACTACCCTATATTGCATAAAACTTATATTAATTTATTATAATACTTCATCTAAATTTTAATTCATATAGTAAAATCTTAATTTACTATAATAATTATATTAACTAATAAACTTTAATGTAAACTTATGAAAGACTTACCTCATTTATCCAAACTGAGTTGGCCTGGTGCTGACCATGTGCCCAAATAATTTCTAAATCAACTAGAGCCGGATTAATTGTCGTAACTGGTTGTTTCATTCCATAAGTTTCAATTATCCTTGGAGCTAAAAAAACTACACAAACAATTAATTTTTATAAAATAATAAAAAATTACTTGCCGTCGGCGAGAACTAGTAGCCACCAACAACCATCACATACACTGGTGACAACCACCGCAACCTCGTCGGATGCATTGGCCTTGATCCCTCCCTCCTCGATCGACACTTCCTCCTTGCCGAAATCAGGCTGGGAATCCACCTTTGTTGCAACTTGGTGAAAACTTCTACTCCGAGATACATAGCGCACCACTGATATCGTCACGAGGTCGGGTCAGATGGCAGAGACGGAAGAGAAGTCAGGGGCGGCGTCTTCTCTAGTGCAGAGGAAAAAGGGAAGGAGGGTTGGTGATAACACCTAAAATAGGCGTTATTTAGCCCTTATTCTTAAGGCATTTGCACGTTAAATCATCGTGTATAGGCCACATATCAAATTATTTATGCCTACTTTCGTTCCTATTTGCAAAACATGTATTTTTGCATAGGTATTCTTGATATGAAGGTTTTCATAAGAGAACCGACACCACTTCGTCATATTTTATGCTTTTCCACTGTTTGTGATGAAATTACAGGTCTTATATCCAGTGACCATGCTCGCGGCCGAGAAGATTGCAGCCGTAAACAGTGCCCTAGAACTTCAGAAGGCAGCTGTCAAGGGCAAAAAGTTTTGACACCCGAATCGCGGTTTTGGTGCTTTTCGACCGCAAAAAACATCATGCCCGTGACACCAAAGATCGCGACCATCATCTCAAGAAGGAGGCCACGATCTCGAAACTTAAGAACGAGATAGAATGCATCGTTTCGAGCGAATCGAAGACGTTCTAGATGGTCACGGCCAGGTCACGACCGTGACCATCGGGTCACGCCCTCGAGGTCGTGACCACTATCAGTTGTCTATGAATACTCCCTTTTATAGCACTTGACAAATGAGAGTCACCCTAGAGTGAGAAAGTGAAGGTTTTGGAGTGTTTTAGAGAGGGAAACACTTAGGGAGAGCTTAATTGAAGATCCAATCCATCCAAGGAGCAAGAAGAAGATGCAAGCAAGGAGAGGAAGATTGATTCCATCACCCCCCTCTTCTAGTTTGTGTTTTCTTTCTCTCTCTATGACTTGAATCTCTAATTGTTGTTTAGGGAAGATGAACTTTAGTTTATAGGTTGTGTATGTATGGATTTTGTATGAATGTGTTTATCTAGTTGATTTTAATGCTTCTCTAGCTTAATTGTGCTTGGGTAAGTCGCCCTAATCTTCTCTTCTAGTATACTTGAGCTTCTACGCTGGGTATGGAGTTTTATGGTTAGACGGGTATGCGCCATCTGGCAGGTTAGGGTTAGATGAATGAATAGGATATTGTGGTGGACGAGGTGATCATACCTCACTGTTGACAGCGGGTAGTACCCATTGAAAAGGAGCTATGTTCTTAAAGCTCGGATATGATAGCCTATATCGAGGTGATTGAAATGGGTTTAGGGGAGGCGTAATCAGAAGTGTGTAGATAATCACAAAGGCCCACGGAAAAGAGCTCACTCACCACATTCTCTTAACCCTACATGACAATCACAACTTGGAGGATTCGACCCTAGGCAACCGTCTCATCTCTAGCGATCTCACGACCACTTGGTTGGTTGTTTAAGAGTAGGTTATGTTAGATTCTTCACCAAGATTCCGATTCGATTAGATAGTAGAACGGAGCAAAGTAATAGTAAGTTTCGGGATCCCTTGGAATACAACCGAGCCACTTTACTATAACCCTAGCTAGGTTATACTTGGTTTAGTTAGGATTGAATAGAGAGTGTGTATCAACTTATAAATTTATAGCTCGATCACGCAGGCAGATTAGTCGGTCGATTTGTGAGTAGTGGATGGAGGTAGACGAAGAACCAGATATTTTGCGGGCTCGCATATGCCGTGTTATTAGTGTGGCTGAATATGCTTGACGTCAAGCAAGCTAAACCTTTTAAAAATCAGTAGTTCAGCTCAGATCGCACGGTCTCACACACGTCTCCTAGTCACAAAAGCCCTGTAAATAAATTTTCTCCCATGGTATTTGTGGTATTTTTTTATTCCTTATATATTTATGTAATTCACCCTCCTCGAGACTTATATAGCCAACCCTATTTTTTTTGTTATGTTGACGACCAGTGAAAGTAAATCAATAATCTAAAGGATCTCTAACACAACAGTAGCATGGGAATGGATCAGGTCAATAACATTATGGTGAGTAACCATGAGTAATCCGTCCACATCAGCATGACATCAGCATTCTCTCTCTCATGGAAAACCTTTAATTTTTCCCTTTTTAATCTTTGACGGACGATTTCTCGCTCATTTTAAGTCGAAATTTAATTTTTTTTGCACAGTTAGATCAGATTAATTGTGCTCGTCAAAATGATATCCACTTTAATATATTTTTCGAACAAAAAAAATTGAGCCATTTTTTACCAGCCTATACCATATGGTATTGACTGGTATTGAAATAAAAGCATACCTATGTTTTGAAAAACGTACCATGGTGTTATGAACAAACCAATTCTGTAGGATGGTTGAATACATGATAGTAGAAGTATATTAATTGTAATTTACGACTTTTAACATTGTATACCACACAATACCACCCCGTACCAGGGTGGTATTGTATGGTATTGTGTGGTATTTTTTGGTCCTGTAATTTGTTCACCCAGAAATTTGTAGATCCAATAGATCATGATGAACTCGTCCCTTCTGTGCAAACGTTTTCAAAAACGAATTAAAAACGACGAAGATACCATACAATACCACCCCGTACCAGGGTGGTATTGTATGGTATTGTGTGATATTTTTTGGTCCTGTAATTTGTTCACCCAGAAATTTGTAGATCCAGTAGATCATGATGAACTCATCCCTTCTGTGCAAACGTTTTCAAAAACGAATTAAAAATGAAGAAGATACCATATGGTATGTAGTTGGTACCGAGAGGCCAGAATTTTTTTTTCCTAAAAAAATATTGAAAATTGATCTAATTTTGTAGAGCACGGTGAACTCGTTCCATCTGTGCAAAAAAAAAAAAAAACCCCGAGTTAAAACGAAAAATATATGAGTCAATTAAGAAAGCTAGTGAAAATAAAAATAGTCTTTAATTCTCCATCCTTAGATCTGGATTTTCTAAATAAAGAGTCCAGATTTGGTTATTGATGGGTGCATAACCCATGGTTATGCACACTATCTTAAGCCCAGCATGCTAGGCTTCCAATCCAGGAAAACAGACCAGATTGACTCGATTAATCGGGGTTCACTACTGCCAAAACAGATACTCGCAACTAGATTGGATACGCTTTTAACTATGATCGGGTTAGATGGATCTGATCCAATCTGATTTTAACCCATAAACCAACTCTGTCCCATTGCCCCTCAGAATGCCTCTGTTTCCTCAATCTATATCATAAAATAAAAATTGACAAAAAATAGAACAATTCAATTCTCCCCACCCAGCGCAAAATCCTTATCTTCCATCTCTCTATGCTTTATGTCGGGATTGGAGAGCCTCGGATTGGAGAGGTGTAGGGTGGCCAGTGGGTAGGCCTGAAAATTTGCCTGTCCCGTTCCTATCCCTGTCTGACCCGTCCCTGAAGAGTCAAGATGTATAACCGTCTCGTCCCGTCCCGTCCCTGTCTCCTTCTTGATCCTGTCTGACCCTCAAGGATCGGGACGGGACGGGCCGGGTCAGTGGGTCGACCCTAATCAACACACTACTTTTTTACAAATTACGTTTTGGTATCCAAAATTATTTTTTCTTACAATTTAGTACCTAAATTTTATTTTTTTTACAAATAAGTCCATAAATTTTGATGGTAAAATTACGTTTTGGTACCCAAATTTTTTTATTTTTACAAATTAGTACCTAAACTTTAAAAACTTTACAAAAAGGTCCAATGAAGTATGAGATATTTGTTGTTGCTAAGGGTCACAGGGTCAAAACGTGACTCGTCCCTAAGTTGTCCCGACCCGTCCCGACCCTTACAGGGTCAACAAATGACCCGTCCCTAATCTGTCCCTGTAGACAAAATGGCCCGTCCGACCCTTAGGGACGGGTCGGGACGGGTCAGTGGGTCTTCCGGGACAAGCTTTCACCCCTACCAGTGGGTGGATTAGGGCTGAGTGGTTATACAATGCGCTCATCTAAGTTTCGGGCAGGTATCGAGTGGGTATTATTAGGGGTGGCTATTTGGACCGGGACCGGATGAAAAACCGGAAACCGGACCGTATAACCCGGACCGAGACCGGACCGGGACCGGATAGTAAACAATCCAATCCAATTTTTGGGCTTAGATTTGAGGTAAAAAACCGGATAAAGACCGGATAAGAGAGCTTAACACCCAAAACTTAAGGGTAATTTGCATAAACGGTCACAAACCTTTGCACTTAGTACAAAACTTAACCAACTCCTCACCCTTTTAGGCCTTAGGCCACTCAAATTCTCACAATCTCAATATAAAATCAAGACCGAATTGGGACCGGACCGGGTCAAGACCGGACCGGATCAAGACCGGACTGTATCCAATCCAATCTTCGGTCCTTATATTTTCAAAAAAACCGGACTGGACCGGATCAATTTGGGCCAATTTAACCGGACCGGACCGTATAGCCACCCCTAGGTATTATATGATGGACTAGATACCATATCTATTACCCGTGGATATTAGGTAGGTGTGCATATACCCATGCATATGTCATATATCTAATAATTCTATGATTTCATTCAAGTCACATACATCCTTGTAAAACTCAAAAAATCGTCACATAAATCCAACAACATTATAATTAAGTGAAATAGTATACCTTGAAAAGAAACTTAAAAAACAAGCAAAAGTACTATGCTACAATTCTTCTTTACTGAAATCGCTTACGAAAAGTGGAAATGGAGGCAGATCAGTTTCGAGCAAATGGATACTCTGAGATAGAACGAGAAAAAGTAAATTTGATTCATTCAACTTCTAAGACTTTGGAACAATTAGAAAATTACAAAAATGAAACCATTCATTTTGAACAACAAAGAGCAATTACTCAAGTCCGCCAACGGGTTCTCCAACAAGCCTTACAAGGAGCTTTAGGAACTTTGAATAGTTGTTTGACTGACGAGTTACATTTACATACTGTCAGTGCTAATATTGGCATGTTTGGGGCGATGAAAGAATTCTAGTCGATTCAAATATATGGACGCCATTGAATGATTCAAACTCTTCTCTTATATCTTGATGACACTTTATTTATAGTATTTATCACTCGCATTTTTGCTACATTTTCCCCTTATATCAATATATTTTTAGTGGTTTTGATTATATTTCATATGGAATTCCTAAATGGATAATGACCTTATGATAGACCTTGAGTGTAATTTTGTACTATTTGATTCCTTTTGTGTTGTTTTGTGATTTTCAAGGAACCCAACATATCAGAAGGAGGTCAAGGATACAAGCTCATGTTGCAAAGGGAGATGGATTCTCACACCGGAAGGTCAAGATATAGACCAAATTATGGTATTTTGAAGAGCATATGGGCCAAACAAAGTCAAAATGAGCTGAAATTTGAGAAGTAGGCCCATGAGCCCAAGAGGAAGTTGCCCACAAAAAATGAGCCGATTTGGAGAAGAAAACCCAATGGCAGGTCCACCCATCGTGGCGCCGCTACTCTTGCCCTAAGCTCTTAGAAGCCTTCCTCAGCGAGTTACATCGTCCTCAAGTTCAAGAATCTGAGTTCAAGTCATAAAAGGGAGGTTTTAGCCGATTTTAGGAGGAAAACGACTAGAAAATCCCATTTTGTAAATAGTATAAAAGGCTAGGCTATAGCTTTTCAGGCACCTTTTACCAACACTCTACCCTAGGGGCACGAGTTAGAAATCCATAAAGAGGAGGCGAAACCCTGCTAGAGCTCGATGAGGAGTTTTCACCATCGATGCATATCATTGGTGATGTCTTCCTATTCATATGTGCATATCATGCTCGAAATTGTTAGGGATGTGACTCTAAGATTATTCGTGTATTACTTTCAAAGATTATATTATGGTGCCTATTGTAATTCAATGTCTTCCATCGATGCATGAGTTGATATATGCTTGTATCATCTATTGCTCATTCATTCGATGCTTTAGTTGTTGATTGCTATAGTGATTCTATGTGTTTGGCTTATCCTATTTACTACTATAGTATCGTTTATACTACTATTATGGGAGACAGAGAAACTAATCTTGTGTAGTAGGCATCGTCTTTAGATGATGTTTGATTCTTAGATCATCGATTATGGCTCATAGAGGTCCACACTTAATTATGTGCTATCTTAACTTGTTCTTCATTGATTAGGTGATGGCATGAAGCGAAAGCACGCATTAGCTAGTCAAATCTCTATTTCAAGTGGCGCATGCACAGGTAGATAGTTGCCTTAGAGGAAGGGATGGGCGTCATAATAGATTATGCGTAGAAGCGTCTCATTGATGAGTTGGTATGCATAATCATCTAGAGAATACTACCTAAACATTCCTTCTACTTGCTTTGTTTGCTTTCTTGCATTGTTAGTTCCCGTTCTTGCATTAGTAGATTAGTAATTCGACCAAGGACACCTTAACCCATCATATTTACTTTTGTTTGCATTCTCATTCGAGAATAATTGGTTAACTTTGAGTAGTTACTATAAATAAATCTCGTGAACTACGACCCTAGGACATCCTATGATTTATAACTTGACTTGCACATCATATCTCTATGTCTTTTGGGATGTATATTCTTTCAATATAAAGACTAAAGAGAAGAGAATTTGTGCTATAACAGAATACAAGAATTGACATATTATTTTTCACTTTTCCATCAACGGTAATAACCTTTGGCTTTGAGAGAAATTCATTTAATGGACAATGGAATTTTATTTGTTGGCTCTGAGAAGAGGGGAGTCAGAAGGAATAGAGGAGAATTGGTGATCGGAAACGTGGAGGTGGGGGACGACACGATGAGACAAGAAGTGAGAACGAGAAGTCGAGAGGCCGAGGGGGTACCTAGGTACAGGGTATTGGGGTGCCGAGCAGTTTTAGGGCAGATAATTGAATAACCTTACCTTGCGCGTGCCAGATAACTACACTTTCGTGTTCTGTCAAGACCTAAATCGAATCCAGTCAATGAGGGTTTTGCAAATGTTGACTGGTTCGGGTTTGGATGGATATTTTATTCAGTGGTTTTTCTACCAACCCTAGAGAGGTGAGAGTTGGTTGGTAGCGTCTGAATCTAGAAGAGTTGGAAATTCGCGACCAAGGAATGCTTCTACGGGTGTCCGGAAAACAAAGACAACGGGCAAGGTACGTTGGGTTGGGGCTTCCCCATCTTCCTTCGTTCCTCTTCTCCTTCATTTCGTCTTAGTCTTCTTCTTTCTTTTCGATTTCTCTATTTCTCCTGTGGATGGATTTGACTAAGAAAGATTAGGTTGGAGAGTGGCGGATGGTAGAGGATAAGGTGGAAGTGAAATAAGACAAAAGTAAGACGATGGTGCAAGATTGGCAGATCTAGTGGAGAGATCGTGGCGAAAAATAGAGGGTGGTAGGGAGAAAGGGAGTGGCAAAACTAGTGGTAAGTAGGCATGCACATGGGTCGGTTGATTCTTGTTTAGCCATTTTAATCAACTGACCCATACACTTCTGTTTTGAAAATACTAAAACAAAGACGTCCAAAAAAAGTAGAACTGTAAATTTTGTTTGTGATTAGGTTGGGTAGGGTGGGTTATATTTTTAAGTAAAAATACAACCAAACACTTTATAAAAAATATTACTAATTAAAATTAAAAATAAATAAACCAAAGCAAAAAACATAAAAATGCATAGAAACTATTGTTTGAATCTTGAAGATGTCCAATTTTCTCTACCATATGTCTGGTATTTTCCACAAAAATTTACCAACATAAGTAATATAAGCTAATAGATCCATAATATGTTACTCTTCTAAAATTGAATACACAAAAAAGTGAATCATACCCTATATTAAATACGTCTAATATGATAAAATACATGAATTACTTCATGAATATGCTTGTATACGACATAAAAACGTTTGGATACAAACACTTAGGTTAATAGTTGTAACACTGGTAGGGTCGGGTATCTACGGGTTGCATAACCCAAATCCCGCACTGACTCGGCCTCACTACACATTCCCAATGAGAGGCCAAGTATAACCAACGATCGGGTGTAGCATAGGGTAAGTAAGTAATACAATTATCAAATTCACAGGTCTGTAGATGTACAGTTACTTCAACTTAGGTTTGTTATCTAGCCAAACAATAATAGTGAGTAAGACTAAACTATCTACACTAATCTAACCACTACTCTAACTAATTACAAGGTTGAGAGCTCACTTAGGCATGAATCCTCTTAAATCCGTCATTTGGTCGATGTTGAGTACTACTGTAGATTGATTGAATCAATACTTCTAACGTGGAGAAGTGTAGACTAGATTGGACCCCCTATTCGAGGCATCCAAGCCCGCTCAATTGTTCTACCTGGACATGCGTACCAAACAACCGACATAGGTGATTGAGGCGTTCATGACCAATTTCCATGATTGGAAAAGATCCAATATGGCACTACGGTACGGATCCTATCACACTCGTTCAAAGAATCATAGTGATGAATTGGTAGTGCTCTATTAAACCTAGGGGGATATTTCCCTCCAATATAAAAAAGCCCCAAATTGAGGAATGAGATCAAGATCCATTAATTGCATAAAATATTCAATTTAATAGATAATAAAGAATCACAATCATAGGGTTTTTACATACATCAACAATCAAACCAACATCTAGACCTAGGGTTTATCAACGTAAGTGAAGGGGAGCTAATTCATAGAGAGGAGAAAGGTTACAATACAAAGCTTTTAGATCTTCATTCTTCATCTTCTAGCCTTGATTTCCTTGCTCCATTCTCAATTTAAGCCTCCAATTCAGCCCCAATATCACTCTAGATCACTCTCTCTCTCTCTCTATGAATCCCCCTTTGGGTGTTTTAGGCCGAAATCGAATTCCCGGTGCTAATAGCATGCCATTGCAAAAGAGTAAGAGCATCATCGAGGGAATTAAGAATGATAGTCAAATATAAATCATTCACACCTTTAAATCTTATAGGCTTCAAGTAATGGGTCTAGGTAGGGGTGAGCATTCGGTCGGTCGGTCGAACCCGAACCGAACAGATGACTATCGGGGTCTGCATTGTTGTCACATGCCAAACCGAATTATAGTTCGGCTCGGTCCTAAAAAATTTATAAGACCAAATTTACCACCGTATACAACCATGGTATATGATGGTAATATGTGGTAAATAACGGTTAGTATATTTCTACTGTCATGTATAGAAACATTGCCTTTAAAATAGTAAACAAGAAATTTTTGTTTACCGAGCCAAAGACCTTCATATTGTCTACCTTGATTGTACATCTTGAAGAGATGAATACCTTGTGATAGTCATTTACCAATATCAATGCCAATAGAATATTATCTCATGTGGATTTACTTTGAATAAAAGTTAAAAGAGAGTTACTGATGGCCCTATATTTATAGTGTTTATCACTCCCGTCTACTTTGAATAAAAGTTAAAAGAGAGCTACTAATAACACTCTATTTATAGGGTTTATTACTCTCATACTTTATACATTTTCCCCTTCTATCAATTTATCTTTAGTCCATACCTTGTTCATGGGCTTGGAGGAAGGTCCTGAAACTTAGGACTACAGTGGATCAGTACCTTATAGTCATGCCTGTAGGTGTGTATTGGGGTGATTGTGTGATGGACAAGTTCTCAGTCAAAAAAGTCTGGGAGACTCTTCGTGGTAAGCATGAGGTAGTGTAGTGGTTTTCTTTGCTTTGGAAGTCTTTTGGGACACCTCGAGACAAGCTACTTGTCTGGTTAATCATCTTGAACAGAATATCTACTCTAGACAAGGTACAGAGATGGAACAATGCAGTGGTTAACCTCTGCCCGTTATGCTCCTCTATGGTAGAGTCCAGGGATCATCTTTTCTTTGAGTGTTCCTACTCTCAGCATGTGTTGCAGGCTATTTTTGCAGGAAGAAATGTGGTGGGGGCGAATTGGGAGGGATCTTTGGCAACTGCCATATCACTATTCCGGTTAAATTGCACCTTATCTGATCGTGGTAGGCTTCTGTGGGTGATGGT